ACGGGCGATGTTTGGCTTGCGAGGCTGACGATTCTGAAAGCCAGTAGTTGGATTCAGATTCAGACAACACGATGCGCGCCAGTAGAGGCGTTACCCCTAGATCTATAAACTCAAGCCGACGGGCGATGTTTGGCTTGCGAGGCCGACGAGCCTGAAAGCCAGTCAGCAGCAGACGGCGCTGCAGCCAGCAGAGTGTTTCGAGCACCAGAGAGATCCGCCACGGGCACCGGAGCGAACGAGATCCAGATTACACACCTGCCAAGTGCCGTCAAGGCCGCGGCATGGGGAGCGGGAGGAGCTATCTTTAAGTCGGCCTGTCCCTCTACAGGAGGAATATTCAAAAATATCCCCCCAAAAAAGTGCTGGGACGGTTTTCCTATTATGGTTTGATTTTGTCTGTGCATGTTTCGACTATTTTTCATGTTTTGCCCAAAACCCTCCTGTAGGAGGACATGCCCGACCTAAAGCTACCTTCGCACCACCGCCCGGCACAAGCGACGAGGTGGCGGCTCAGGAGGGGGGGAATGGGTGGGAGGGGTTGAAGAAGAAGAAGAAGAAGAAGAAGAAAAAGAAACGCCATAAACATAAACCGTTGGCGTTCTGCGCGGATTTCTTGGATCCGCGCTGGGCCCCCCCGGCGGCGCCTCTGGCGTCGCCCCTGGCGCGCTCCGCGCTCCAGGGAGGAGGGTTCAGCGCAGATCCAAGAAACCTGCGCGGAGCAGCAAAGTTTATGTTTATGGCGCTTTATCCTTTTACTAAGGAAGATGACCCCTGAGATCCAGGCTTTGCCACACCTGGCGTGGTCGCCCAGTGTTGGACCCTGGGACCCTCACGGACCGATCCTTCTCAAAGCATGCAGCAGAAAGATGGGTTCCAGGCATGGTGTTTCGCGGTGCTGCGATTTGTTTGCAACGACGGATCCGAGGGCTGCATCAAAGAAACTGCGACGGCTGAGTTTTCGTCAGTTTTGCCCTCTGGGGACCGGCCCTGGGACCGTCAAAAGCTGCTCAGGATGAAAAGCTGGCCCCAGGGGAGTGGTCGAGATCCCTGATGCGGCGCGATCCTGGAGGCACATTTGCTCTGGCCCTGTTTGGGAGGCCTCCAGATGTGGAAGACGATGGGGACGAGGAGGAGGAGGAGGAAGATCCGTGCTCGACCGGCCAGCTGGTCGCCACGCCTGCACCCGATCGCAGGGTCCCGCTCGTTTGTTCGCCTGAGGGCAGTCCGATCAGCTGGGCCCGATGCCGTGCTCGGCCCCTGCCTTGTCCGTTCCCGCTCTTCCTTATCCTCCTTCTCTTCCTCCTCCTTCTCCCCTCTTCTCCGTTCCACCGTCCCCCTTCTCCTCCTCTTCCTCTTTATCCCCGCCATCGTCATCACTAGCATCATCCTTGCCATCATCACCAGCATCATCAGCATCGTCACCGTCGTCAGCATTAGCATCATTATCAGCTTCATCATCATCATCATCATCATCATCATCATCATCATCATCAGACACAGCAGCACCACCAGGGCCATCATCGTCATCGTCGTCCTCTTTATCATAGTCTTCTGGATCATCGTCATCATTCACATCATTATCGTCGTCACCATCATCAACATCATCACCATCATAATCATCGTCATCATCAGCATCATCAGTGCCATCACCATCATCATCAACAGCATCATGTTCATCATCATATTCAACATCAACATCAACATCAACATCCTCAACATCGTGGTTAACATCGTCATCGCCATCGTCTGCATGATCTGTGTCATCATCATCATGATCGTTGAACGATGGAAGTGCCACCGATCCAGTCCACTGGGCTGGGCAACCACAAACTCTAAACCACGGCGTCACCCGATTCAATTCTCCCCGCGCAGGTGCTTCGCTTGGTAAGGCGGTTGAACTTGGTGCAATGTAGGAGAACCGCTAAGGTCCAGAGCGCGCGGCGCAAGGCGACGCTGCAGCTGGCAGAGCCGACATCGCATGGACAGAGCAGCGGCAGCATGTGTCGCAGGGCTCGACCTAAACGGTGTTTTCCTATTTTGTCCAATATGTTTCCGTTTTACTTTTGTTTTTCGTTGTGAACGCGTTTCAAAACACGTCTTCACATGCTCTGAACGCCAGCCGTCGCGCCCATGCGTTTTGCCCACCGGGCTGCCGTTGTGTTGGTCGTTCTGTTCTGGCACAGGCGCGTGCCGCACGTTTTGTTGGGCGTTCTGTTTGCTCGTGGGCAGGCGCCGCTCGTTGTGTTGGCGTTTTGTTTTGCTGGGGGTCACCCCCCCCCCCAGCACCACCACCCTGCAAAATCCCGAAGCACCAGCCCCCCTCAGCACAAACCCCCAGCACAACCCCCCAGCACAACCCCCCAGCGCAGCCCTGAAAACCCCCCAGCACGGCCCCCCAGCACAACCCTCCCCCGAACAACCCCCCAGCACAACCCTCCCCAGCACAACCCCCCAGCACAACCTCCAGAAGAACCTCCAGCACAACCTCCAGCACAACCTCCAGCACAACCTCCAGCACAACCTCCAGCACAACCTCCAGCACGACTTCCAGCACAACCTCCAGCACAACCTCCAGCACAACCTCCAGCACAACCTCCAGCACAACCTCCAGCACAACCTCCAGCACAAACTCCAGCACAACCTCCAGCACAACCTCCAGCACAACCTCCAGCGCAACCGCCATCACAACCTCCAGCACAACTTCCCGCACAACCTTCAGCACAATCACAACCTCCAGCACAACCTCCAGCACAACCTCCAGCACAACCTCCAGCACAACCTCCAGCACAACCTCCAGCACAACCTCCAGCACAACCTCCAGCACAACCTCCAGCACAACCTCCAGCACAACCTCCAGCACAACCTCCAGCACAACCTCCAGCACAACCTCCAGCACAACCTCCAGCACAACCTCCAGCAAACATCACAACCTCCAGCACAACCTCCAGCACAACCTCCAGCAACCTCCAGCACAACTCCAGCACAACCTCCAGCACAACCTCCAGCACAACCTCCAGCGCAACCGCCATCACAACCTCCAGCACAACTTCCCGCACAACCTTCAGCACAATCACAACCTCCAGCACAACCTCCAGCACAATCTCCAGCACAACCTCCAGCACAACCTCCAGCACAACCTCCAGCACAACCTCCAGCACAACCTCCAGCACAACTTCCATCACAACCTCCAGCAGAAGCTCCAGCACAACCTCCAGCACAACCTCCAGCACAACCTCCAGCGCAACCTCCAGCACAACCTCCAGCACAACCTCCAGCACAACCTCCAGACTCTAAATTGGCCCTCTCTAGGGGTTGTGCTGGCAGGTTGTGCCGGGGGGTGTGTGCTGGGGGATGTGCTGGGTGTGTGTGCCGGGGGTTGTGCTGGGGGGGTTGTGCTGGGGGGTTGCGCGGGGAGTTGTGCTGGGGGGTTGTGCCAGGGGGTTGTGCTGGGAGTTGTGCTGGAGGGTTGTGCTGGGGGTTGTGCTGGGGGATTGTGCTGGGGGTTGTGCTGGGAGGTTGTGCTGGGGGTTGTGCTGGGGGGGTTGTGCCAGGGGGTTGTGCCAGGGGGTTGTGCCAGGGGGTTGTGCCAGCCAGGGGGTTGTGCTGGGGTGTTGTGCCGGGGGGTCGTGCTGGGAGGGGGGGGGGGGGTTGTGCTGGGGGGTTGTGCTGGGGGGGTTGTGCTGAGGAGTTGTGCTGGGGGGGGAGGGGGGTGTGTTGGAGGTAGTGCTGGGGGTGTGTGCTGGGGGATTTTGCGGAGGGGGGTTGTGCGGAGGGGGGTTGTGTTGGGGGTCATGCTGTGCGAGTGTGTGCTGGGGGCTTGCGCTGGGATCTCCACCTAAATCGTCACTCGCTCCCTCGCGGATTAAATCTTCATGTAGATCTCCGCCTAAATTGTTACTCGCGCTCTCGCTGCTAAACCATCACTTGACTCGTCGTCGTCGTCGTTGTTCCTTGGCGCTTGCTCGTTTAGTTTCCGTTTTGTTGGTGGCCCGCGGCCGTGCCACCGTTCTGTTATGCGTTTCGTTTTCGGCTGCTCGGGGGCCGCTGTTTTGTTCACCCGCTATTTTGTTCCAGAACGGCCCGCGCGACGCCGGTTGGCGTTTTGGCTCAAACTTCGTTTTTAAACGAAAACGAAACGTGAACAGGAAACACTGTTCAGGTTGAGCCCTGATGTGTCGCATCCAGTGACGGGGGGCCCCTGGCGGGGTTCAGTAGTTCCAGGTCTCCCAGATGGGCTCCGAGCAGTTGGGGTTCGGGAATCGCGCCGCATCGCCGATGCATCGGCGATGCGGCGCATGTGGACCCCGAGTTTCTCCACGCCGACGGCGCTCATGCACCGCAAACGTCGCCGACGCATCGCCGATGCATCGGCGATGCAGCGGCGGTGCGGCACGACCCTCCGACCCCGTCGACTGGACCCCATTCGAGTTGCCTCTAATGGCGGGGTTCAGTATCATGCACGTCGAACCTCGAAGCTCGATGCCCGCTGTTGGGCAAGGCTTCTGCGGCGCTTCGGCATTGGCGGCCTTTGCTCGTCTGGCCAGGGCACGCTGGGTGGCCAGCGTGCTTCGGAGACTCATCGGCTCGACGTGGTGGCTGCGGGTGGCGTTGCCCGTGGCGGAAAAAAATCACGGGCATCGGCAGGCCATCTCGCTTCGCTCGGAGGGACGCCGCAACGCCGCGTTGCGGCACGTCCGGCGGCGCAAGTCGTGCCCGACGTCGTTGTCATGCCAGCGATGCCCTGATCCTGACAGGCGTCGGCTTCCCTGGAGACCTACAAGGGAGAAGGATCGGGGGTGGACAGAACCCCCAATAGTGACACGTCGATTAGTGAATTGTCCGTTTTCGGTTTTCGAGAGGGCGCCGTGGCCGTTATTTTCCAGGCTTGCGCCCGCCAGGTTGGGGCCCGAAGTCGTTTTCACTAAACCACGTTTTACTAAAGGGAGGTCTGTCCATCCCCGAAAGGACTTCAGGTGGTGGCCGGCAGCGCACGCGGCCCCATGCGCAAGAGCCTTGCCGAGCGATTGGCCACCTTCGCGAAGGTGACAACGGTTGCCCGCCACAGGGCAGATACCTGAAAGGAAGGCAGCGGCTGTCAGGAATCCCTTGTTGCATAGCCTCAGCTAAAGTCACTTGCACGGCAAGTTGGTCTTCTTGATATGTCTCCGGAGCGGTCGGTTGCGTCCCTTCACAAGAAGATGGTTCGGTGCCGTCGGCACGATCAGGTAATTACCCTCCACGGATTTGTTTTGGCCCCTGATCGCAGTGCTGCGCTCTACTTAGGTGGATCCACCTCCAGTGCCTTCCGCCATCGCTCGTTGATGCCGCTGGCCGTCCGCATGTTCTATGCATCCTTGATCCCACTCTCGATGGTTCAAGTAACTAGTGCTGCACTGGTTCATTGCAGTTCGTGTTCAGCATGCAATGCGACCAAACTATAATATGGATCCCTGGGCACTGTAACCCGAACGTAGTGTTACATGCTAGGGGATGCCTGCGATACGCATCCGTGTCTGATGGTCGTATCCAGTTCTTGGTGTGCGGCTAACTCGTGCAGACTTACTTGTATGGCGGCACCTTCCTCTTCCTGGTTCAGCCTCCTGTGCTCCTCCTCCTCCTGACCCTCTTCCCCTTCCTCCTGCTTGCCTTACTATGTCTCCTCATCGTCCCCCCTGCCCCCTCCCCCACCCAACCCCTGGGCGGGAGCCGATCCCGGCCCGCCCAGCGCCGAGGAACTCAGCGAGAGGCACGTCCGGTGCAAGTGTTGGGGCGACGACTGGCAGACCCGACAGGCAGAGCACTGGGTGCTGTGGAACGACCACCTCACCCAGTCCAGGCACACCAGGCGTCCCGCTCACAGTGTGGGGGCGTTGCAGGAATTGCCCCGCCTCCGCGGAGGAACAGCCGCAAGTGCATAAACAATGTATTTGAGGTCCGCGCGGAGTTCTTGGATCGGCGTTGGGCCCCCCCCTGGCGGCGCCTCCTGCGCCGCCCCCGGCGCGCTCCGCGCGCCGGGGGGGGGGGGTCAGCGCCGATCCAACAAAACGCCGCGCGGACCTCCAAGAAACTTCCGGAGGGAACAGAGACACAGGCTCAGATAAGCGTCGATGTCCAGGGAAATATGGGGGAATATGGGAGTCGGAGGGGGAGACGAAAATCCAGAAGATATTTGAATATTGGAGATCCTGTGGCTATGTATATTTGTTGTGTCTCCACGGGCCCCTTGACAATTATGTAATGCCGTTGTTTGCTCCGCTACCTCGGCGCGTCCCGCCGTCGGCGCGGAAGCCAGGCGGAAGGGCGCCGCGGAGGTAGCAGGAGTCTGGCGGGAGGCCGGCGGGGGCATGGGAGGTAAAAGGTGGGACGCCAACGCGTTGTGGATACAGGGCTTCTGGGATCCGCCAAGCGGCTGCCTGCGGAAGGGTTCCTGTCTATGTGTCCTCCTCCTCCTCCTCCTCCTCCTCCTCCTCCTCTTCCTCCTCCTGATCCTCATCCTCATCCTCATCCTCATATTCATTCATCCTCCTCATTATTGTTCTCCTCCTCAGTCTTCCGTAGCCATTCGGGCTCAGGATGCCAGGTTCTCAGGTGAACCAAGTAGATGCGTGCTGATATTCCGCGGCTTGGTTCCTTCTTTCGGTCGGTCCTCCCTGGCCTGGGCTGCTCCCTGGTCCGACCCAGGGCCCAGCATCCGCTTTCGTGCCATTCACGGTCGCGCAGGCGCCCCTCCCTCTCTCATTCGAGCAGTGGCGAAGCGTCCTGGCTCGCCTATAGGCCCACCCAAGAATGTTCTAAAAACCTTTTGTGGTCTGCCCGATATGTTATTGGAACATGTTCTGGCTGAAACTCTTCTGTTTTCACACATCGGGTCACGTTCCAAGAACCTTGTTCTGTTATTGGGACATCTCTGGGTTCGAAGAACATGTCATGGTTGGCCTGTAGGAATGCTGGGACCGTCGGTCCCTGCTCAACTCGTGGGCTGCAACCGTGGCCACAAGGGAGACAAATGTGGCGCATGCGGCAACGGCACGGACATGCTTGGCCCGCATATGTCGCGGCAGAGTTGCAGGTACAGGTGGAATTTCAAGAACAGCCTTTGGTGCTACCTCTGCCGTGCCCCGTTCGCGCCAAGACCCGAGGTTGAGAGGCTCCCAGCTGGCCAATGGAGCTTCGGGCCGCCACTGTTGCAGCCGCTGCCAATCCCTTCGCCGCTGCGGACGCTCCTGCTGTCAAAGACGACGTCGGCGGCACGACCGCTGGCAAGGGCACCGCGGGCCAAAAGGGGCCGCCGCTTCTTCCTCGTGCAGCCACAAAGGTGAGGCACAAGTGCGGCGCCCGTTCTCCTTTAGCGGCGCTGCGGACCAGTCGCGGTCTGCTGCCCCCCCGCCCGACCGTTCGGCGGCGCTCAGGGCTGAGTTCGGCGACTGCGAAGAGCTCAGGGCGTTCGAGGCGAAGGTCGTGGCCAATAACGCAATGGCCGCAGTCGAGCAGCCTCGGCGGCCGCCCTTCTCGGACAAAGAGGCGGCGGCCAAGGGCGTCGTCTGCCGGCGCGCGCAGGCCTGGCCGGAGTCCCCCGCCGCCCGCATCTTGAAGGGCGAGCAGTGGCTGTTGCAATCCACGCAGGCCGAGCACGCCGAGGCCAAAGTTGCGCATGTTACTCAGCAAGGGTGGGGTGCGGCCTGCGCCAGGCAGCTGTCGGTGCCGCCGCTCGAGGAGGCCATGGGGCTCGCTCTTTCGGCCATCGACCTCTCGACCCTCGTCGGCGAGGGGGCGATCCGGATCATTGACGGGCCGCTTTTTGACATCGTAGGGTTCGGGTTGGAGTCCAGCGACAAGGACGAGTGGGCTGGCATCGAGAAGGAGCTTGTCACTAGCGTCCAGACTGAGGTGCGTAATGCCGTGTGGAAACCTGCCGAGCAGATCCTCAAGCTGCGATGGGGAGGCTAGGAAGCTGCACGCTCGCTTCCAGGCCAAGCGGCGCAGATGTCCTCCGAGGGCTCGGCCGTTGGCAGTTCCCTGGGTTTGGGGCTGGTACTCCTTGCGGCGGCAGCGACGCGGCGGCGCCTGGGGAGCCCAATGCACCCGAGACTTCGCGTGCAGAAGCTCGCGCCAAGGCCACCACAGTCGTCGATGAGCGCTCCAAGGCGGCTGCCGGTGTCCAAGCGTCTCTTTAGCTTGCAGCCGTCGGCGCCGCCCTCCGCGCCCTTGACTCGCAAGGATCAGGGCCCCGTGCGTTGCGCCGCCGAATGGGGACGGCAGCGGTCGGAGCATCGCCGTCGGAGCAACGCCAATGTCTGTTCCAGGACCGCGTGCGTGCGATGGCGAAAGTACTTCGGCCCATTTGA